GCTACATTCAATATCACTTTGCTGAAAATGATTAGAACAAGTCAGCCTGTTTAGATAATTTGCGGTTTGCTTCAAATGCTAGGAGAGATAACCATATATTCCTCTTCAAATCAGTGACTGAATCAATTTTTATGTTTTTAAATTTGAAGATGATAAATAAAATTTTCCCAAATTAGTCAAACAAATCGAATGTGTGTGAACATGTAGCATGTGCTACTTACTGTGGCTACTTATAAAGTATTTTTATAGAAATACAGGCAAATTGTGGTCATTGGTCATCCCAATCCAATGAGTTATTATAGAGTAGAATGGGGTATTATGGCAACTTGTTTTTTATTGGACCATAAATCTGTAATGTCTCCATTCAGCCTTGCAATCGAACTGGCTAGACGGTCCTTAAAGTATTAGGTATGGTTAACTAAGTCAGTTTTTGTGCTGGTTTGACCGTAGTTCCAATAGGAAACAAAATTCTCGAATAATGACAAATTGCCATATTCCCCCAGCATCAGGGTAATATGGCATAGGACATTGGGAAATATGGCAACATGCGATTTGCATAAGGATTCATTTAATTTATGACAAAAAACATAAACAAACATATTTTTTAAGAAATGTTGTTTAACATATCAAAATATACAGTCGTGGCCATATGTATTAGGCACTTAGGACCTCAACGAATAATTTGGAAAGTATGGAAGTTGGAGAAAAACTAATGTATATCAGTAATAGGAATCTCAATTTATTAGAAAATGCATACATTTTATTAATATTTTATGGAGCCCCCTCCAGCTTTTATTACTAATTTCACTCTTCGTGGCATACTAGACACTAATTTCAGACAGGTAGCTGCAGGAATTGCGTTCCATTCTTCAACAATTTTTTCTTTTAGCGCAGTTTTTGAAGCGCAGTGATGTTGTGCAATCTTACTCTTTACAATGTGCCATAAATTTTCAATTGGTGAGAGATCTGGGGACTGGGGCGGCCACGATAACAGGTTAACCCCATTCTCTTCAAACCAACGCATCGCTTCGCGGAATTTGTGGCAGGGGGCATTATCTTGTTGAAAAAAATAATTCCCTTGCTCGGTATCCACTAACTGTAAAATGGAAGGCTCCAAAACCTAAGTAAACCTAATCAGAATCCAAAGTTAATCTAAAATAAGTTCAAATATGTCAAATAAGAAATAAAAAGAAACTTGAACTAGAATGAAAAACAAACATTCAATTTTTCCATTTCATATCGTTTGCCAGCTGTTGAAGTGGAATACAATCCTTGCAGTATAAGTCAGATCTTGTGCAGATCTCATGGATCCAGTCTGAACACCTCGTGCATTGTATCCAATCGCATTTGGGACCCTTTTTGTCGAAATAATATCCACCGCATTCTGCACAAATTTCAGAACGGTCTACTTCTATTTCTGATTCACCACTTTCCTGTGTAACTACTTCCGTTTCGCTTTCGGACGAACTAGAATCAAATCGGGCTCTTCTACGACTTTTTTCTTTGGCAAGCTTTTTGTTACTTCCTGCCTTTTCCTTAGTATTGCTACTGTGTTTCTCATCCGTTTTTTTCATCCGTTGCTGGGATTTCATCAGTTTCGCAGATCTTTTTTTTTCTTTGGCCTCTTTTTTCTCTCGTTTTGCTGCTACTACCTCTGGTGATGTTAGTACCTCTGCATGCTGTTTTCGCTTCTGGCACCCACTCGTTCCTGGTATGCACGGAACCGCTGAAATAGCTTCAAATGGATTTTGATCTGGATCAGCTGTCTTTGGAGAACGCCCGTTGTTTTGGTTGTTGGCATCAATAATGACATGAGCAGTGGCTTCCCCAATATTTTCATCCGGTGAATTCTCATTTCTAAGAGCAGCATTTGCAGTAGGGTAGACTGGGTACGGTTGAAACATTTTAGCGTTTATTGTCCATAGCATCGGGATTAGCTGAGCGAGCGATATCGGAAATATGATAAATAAAAGACCATATATTTGTTTACTAATAGGCAATGATATTTGAGATCACTGTTTTGTATTTTATCTGTAACATTAAATTAAAAAACAAATGTAATTTGTTTCAACCGTCCCCATGCCAGGGTCGGTTGAAACAGTGCCTGGGGTCAATTGAAACACATACAAATAATACGAAGTATAGTAAATAAGGATGTTTTATTAATCATCTAATAATATTTTACGACTCGTAATGGCACAGTTAAACATCAAAAATATATTTTCAATAATATTCAAGTCTTTGACGATACTTACAGACTAACAGTAAAACTTCAAAAGATATACTTTTCGATGAATAGATTAACAAATGACAAAACAACAATACTTTTTGTTAGAGAATAAAAATAAACAGTTTAAAACAAAAACTTATCCTTATTTAAGAAAAATCCTATTTAAGAAAAAAATAAAGACTTATTATTTCTATAAAAATCCATATTTTAAACAAAAATATTAAAGTGGTTATGAGATCATTCAGAATCACAATTATGGCAAATATAAATAAGACTACCTTTTGTGCACTCTTCATGCGCCCACATTTTACATTCTGTGCATTGTATCCACTTTTCCCTCGGTCTGCTTTCTGAATATGCTGACACACAAACAAGACAGTAGTATTCCTCTTCTTCTGATGATTCATCTTGCGTGATATTTTTTTTTCTGTTTCTAACATTTCTTTTCGTCTTTTCCTCTCCATCTAATCTTTTCTTAACTTGCTTAGCTTTGGTTCGTTTCAATCTGTTTTCATGTTCTCTTCTTATCTCTTCTTTCTCAGGTGTATCGGTGTATATTGTGGATTTTCTGGTTTTTCGCCCCCTGTTTGTTGATTTCCTTGGAGGAGCTTTTGGTAGTGGTCGTACTGCTTCCGGTGAAAACAAAAGTGTTGTACTCGGAGACGGGATATTTTTCGTTTGATTTGACAAGACAGGAATGGATTGAGAACTTGTAGAGGGTTTTGGTGAAATTTGCTGAACAATATCAGTACTTTGATGTCCGGGTAATGTAATCAAAGGTTCTGGATCTGCAGTAATATTTTCCTGTTGTCTGTCTGGGACTTGTGAACACTGTGACATATTTGCAGTCAGTTGTTGTACAGAAAGAGCTGTATTAGAAAGCTCCTCCGACATTTCTGGTAGTTCAGAAGGTGATGGTGTTGGTGTTTTATCCTCAGGTGTGTAAGTATTCTGAATATGGCCATCAGCTGCCTCATTTGTATTCGTATTTAGAGGATTTGGTCTGTCTGTCACAAATGCAGGTGCAAAATCGAGTTCACTAAACAAATGCCGATTAAATGGAACAATCCCAGTTGTGCGAAAACCAGCTTGAATGTTGGATTGTGTAAGAGCAAGCGGCATAGCAATACCTAAAATCCCTGGGATGTCGTATATTGACATTGTCTTGCCGGGATGACTTCGCATCCATCCATCACAGGTCGAATTTATAGCTTTTTTCAGCGGACCGAATACAGATCTATCAAGCGGTTGGAGTTTATGTGAGCAGTGGGGAGGGAACGATAGCACCACAATGCCATTCGTCTTGCAAAAGTCTAGAGCATTAATATGAATATGTGAAGAGTGGTTATCAAGTACAAGTAAGACTTTATGTGAAGAAGAAGCATTTGTATGTTTCTTGAAGTGTTCCAGGAAATGAATAAATGTTTCATCCTGCATCCAGCCAGAAGGATTTGCACTGCCAGCAGATCCTATTGGTCCATCCCTGATAAAGTGGTCTTGATATCGCACTCGCGGAAAGACGAAGAATGGAGGAATAGCATTTCCGATGGCATTAACTGCAAAGGCAACTGTGACTAAAGTACCCCTCTCACCTGAAGTCACTGAACCTACTTGGCGAGCACCACGTCTAGCTATTACTCTGTCGGGTTTTTGCACAGTAGTGATGCCAGTCTCATCAACATTATATATATTTTGTGGCTCAAACTTATAACGGTCCATAACAGTACTCAAATTGTCGTAAAAAGCATCTACATTATTTCTATTAAAGCTAGTCGCCCTAGAAAGACTTGTAGCCTGTGCTACACGTACTGAAAGTCCGGAATTTCTTCTCATAAACATTCGAAACCATTCGTCGCCAGCCATTTCGTTGTCATCCCATGTCCGAGGTCGTGATAAGTCGTACTTGATTGTTAGTTCGTATGCCAATTTCCTGACATCCTTTTTAGTTAGGCCAAAATAGATATCTGCACATCTAGTTAAATAATTAGAAAGCTCACGTTCTTGTTCTTGGTTAAACACTCGATTGTGAGCCTTATATCCCACTTCTTGATTTTCATCACCACCAGCCGCATCTCGTTTACGTACGTATCTAAACAGGGAACAGTGGTTCAGCCCATTCTTTTCTGCCGCTGTTCTTAAAGAAGATCCCGCTTTCACATCTTCATAAGCTTGTTTATAAGTCGATAAGTCAGCCTGGCCTCTCGTAGTCTTCCTTTGGCGTACCCTTGGCATCTAAAAAACAAGACAATCAAATAAATAAGCTGTTTCAACCGTACCCACAAAAAATGTTTCAACTGTCCCCATCCCCCCTTCTAGGTATAAAACGGCTCACAATAGGAATGATAATAAATTTGAATAAAAACTCATCATACTACCATATTCTACAAACTTCAATTGCAACGATACAAAATGCTCAATACTTTAGCTTTAATCAAAACGATAATAATTGCAAAAATGTACGAACAAAAATACTTACTTTACCGCCAAAAAACACAATGGTGTCCCCTACACACAAGCACAGCGCGCGAAGAGCAAAATAATACTGAAATTCGTGTTTCGACTTGTCGTCTGCTCCGATCTTCTTCTGTTTTCGTCCCCCACCATGAAAGGCTCGCGAGATATTCGCTTTGTTTCAACCGTCCACCGTTTCAACCGTACCCAGTCTACCCTATTTTTGCAGATAAAAGCATATTCTGGGATTTTGGATTTATCAAAAGGAAAAATACCACATGTCCTAAATCCTGATACTGCATTTTGAACTGAGGCAGCTTTACACCATGCAGTATTGAGGAAACTGCAATCTGGAGAGTTTGCGACCGGGATTGTTTTGTACCCATTTCTTACATGCTTCATTCCAATAAACCTTAAGAGGCTTGAAGAATGATCTATCTAATGGCTGCAGCCAATGAGTAGTGTGGCTAGGTAGGCACAACAGAATTATGTCATTGGCTGTTGCCAGGTCTAGTATTTTCACATCAGAGCAATGAGAGGAATGACCGTCAAGGACGAGGAGTACTTTGCCTTGTTCTTTACGTGGAATAAAGAGATGAAGAAGCCATGCTTTGAAAATATCCGTAGTTACATACGCCGATTTTTCACTCATTACAACTGTACCACCTGGTGGCAATCCGTCTTCAAATTCTTTTTTCTTGTTTTTTCCCTTCATAATGCAGTAGGGTGGAAGGAAATGACCTTCTGCATTCACGCAGGCTATAACTGACACAGTCTCACCTTTCTCTGCACTTGTTACACAATTTACCATTTTGGAACCTCTGGTAGCAATTACCTTTCCTGGGTTGTTATTTAGCTGAACCCCAGTTTCATCTACATTGAAAATTTTTCTGGGAGCGGATATTAGGTTATTTTCTGTTAAAAGGTTCCCGAGCAGGTCAAAGTAATGATCGCATTCTTCTTTGTTCATACCTTGAACTCGAGCCGTTGACATTCCCTGAGCTTTTCGAATGGATAAATTTGGATGTCTCTTCATAAAAGAGCAGAACCAGTCATGGCCAGCTTCTTTTTTCTCCGGATTAAAATTATTTTCTATGTTATTACAGATGGCAAAAGAGTACGCAATCTTTTTTACGTCTACAGGTGTTAACGCAAAACCCATCTTCTCCATTTTTTTGATATAATCTACCAAGCTTCGTTCATGTTCTGGACTTAGATAACTCTTACGCCCTAACTTGACCTTGTTTGCGTTTCCTGATTGGATCCTCCTCATTAAGGTCCTAACAGGAACAGCATATGTCCGACTTATTTGCCTTATTGAACCACGACCACATCTAACATCCGAGATTGCATTTATCAGATCTTCTGCCGACCACATGGCCCTCACATTTTTCTTGGTGTAATTTCGTGGCATCTTCTTTACTCTGAAATTTTAAAATGGTAAATGATACATACTGGGATAATATGCCGCATTTTGGGGTAATATGGCAGTATTATGGCATATTACCCCAAAGCGTATCTTCCAGATTTAGCAAATCATAAACTCATGTCTAGTGAAATCTGGTTATCCTACGTGGCATAAAAAGTTAGGTTATGCACCGCAGATTCCATGGTCCCTACTGGAAATAGCATCAAAATACTTACAACTGCATTCACATCGGCAAAAATCTTATTAAAAAATAATTTGAGCAATGTACTTACCTTGTATTTACGTATTTTTTCCTAAATACTGTTAAATACTCCTCTTTGAATATTTTCCGCGATGAAAACAGCAAATCAACGTGCACTTGACACCTACCTGGACGCCCCCTCGCGATTTACAACGGAAATATTGAACTGCGGCGTATTACCCATGGTGCCATATTACCCCACTTTACTCTATAGAAAAATCTAAAACCACGCCGCTGGATGTAAACATAACCAATACTTACACATGAAATTGAGGCGTATAGAATCAAACCCAGCTAACTCCAAAATGTAAAATTCTCCAGGAAACGACAAAAACGGCTGGCTAAATTATTTTTTGATATTTCACTACCAAATATTTTTTATTTACGTTTTCTAACAAAAAGGTATTCAGTCTGGCTAAAAAATCCAACATTATCTCAAGCTTTTTGCTACAAACAATGGTTTTTGTTTTGAGTTAGCGGCTTTTGATTGTGAAAATTGGATATAGCGGGTTTTGATTGTTACTTGGCCTTCGAAGTACAAAAATAACACATCTTGTTTGATCATTTTTCTAAACTTATTTAACTATATAAACAATAACAATGGTTCTCTAAATTAATAATGTTTATTTTAAACAACAAAAACTATATTTTATAAATTTAACGAAAACATAAATAAAGTTCTTTATACAGAAAATGCTCTATCTTAATTATGTTTATTTTGAACAACAAAAACTATATTCCCTAACTTTATCGAAAACATTCTAAATAAAACAAATTCCTTGTGAACACATTCATTATACAGACAAGGCGTCTAGCTCTTCAACCGTTTCGCATTGCAAATCTGGAACATCTTCAATATTACCGTCAGCTTCTTCTGGTTGGCGAAGTTCAATATTTATGAAAAAATCTAGGCCTTCATCGAGTCTCCAGTTTTCGCCGTAGTGACCTTCTAATAATTTAGCCACTGCTATAACTTTAGCTTCTTTGACAGGAACGTTTGTAGGAAGCGGTTGAGGATCCATAGAACTGATTTTTTTATTTTTCTTCGTAACACTTGCCTAATTCGGATCTGTAGTGTAGTTCTCCCTGAACTGTGGTAATTCTGTTTTCGTCAAGAATTATTTTAAACCTTTTGGAAGGATTAAATTTAAAGTGCCAGGCTCCAGGTGGCTTTAACACATTTTGGGATTCCTTCTTCCAATCTAAAACAGGGACATCCACACCCATTTTTATTACAGTGGCATACTGTTCTATGTGTTCAATATACTGTTGAGGGGTAGAAATGATCTCTTGTTTTCTGATAGCTTTCTCTATGTTTCCAAATACCCTGTCAGGTGGAATAAAACATGTCCGACAACAGGAAAAATTATCTCAAGTTGCTTAATATTTGGTGGCGCATATCATTCAAGCCACTTAGAACACATTCCTATCATAGTGGTGTTTTTGTTCTGACCACCGCAACCGTCAGCAAAAAGTCTAATGTGCGTTTTACTGTAAGTTTTTTAGGCGATGGAATACCGCACTAGTAATTTCATTCGAGCTTGTAGGACGGACAGTTTCATTCCAACAATAACAAAATACGTTTTCTGGAGTTAATGTTGTCTTGGAGCTACCACAAACAATAGTAAAATTGTGAAAGTTATATTGTTTTGAAAAATAAGCGTTCTTGGTCAGGAAGTTTTGGAAGTGGCAAATTCTTTTGGCAGTCAAATGATAACGTTATCATTTCTGGGTATTCTTCTTTCAGTAAAGCAAAAAGGGCTTGCGCCTTTAGTTTATGTACAGTTTTCTGAGCCATAAGCGCAGCTTTTGTAGGAGGATCATCTTTAACCTACTTAATTTTTTCACTAATCTGAATGCATGTTTAACATACATCAGTTCTAGGCGATCCGAAACCTATGTTGTATTTTGTACAAAATTCACGTCTAAAAAATGGTTCTTTAACCATGGCATTGTCAAGTGCTGAATTTAAATACATTTGGTATAATTTTCTGATGTTTACTTCTGGTGGTACATATACACGGCAAGCACTTTTCGACCTACAATAATGTGACTCCTGGCATTTGAGGGATTCCAAAAAAGAGCGTATTGCCTCCCGCCTTCCTTCATTTTGCTTGCTCTTATGATCCCCGCCCCGGTTTTCTTGTGCCATTTTCCCAGTTTCAAAATGTCTTTTTAACACTCCATAAACTCTATCTTTATTAATATCCAATATATTTAAAAAAGCTGGTTTGCAAACTGGAATTAATTTTCCGCTTCTATTCTTTACGAAAAATTTGTAACTTGTCCTAGCTGGCTTCGATTTATTCTTTCGACGCTTTGGCACCTGAACGTTGGTATACTTTATAATGTAATTATCCTGATCAATTTTTGCAGCAGTAGAGTAGAATCTTGAGTGAAATTCTGATATGTCAAATTTGGTTAAAGTACTGCATCGGAAGCTTTTCGTTGCGTGATTAAAGCTTGGGACACCCGGTGGTCTTTTGGGCTTGTATCTGAAAATAATTGTCGAACGTTGAATAGACCTTTAGATTACAGGAATATTCAAGATCCAATTACTTTATTATCAAAATTACATTCACTTACAAAATAAACAAAATCAATCTTAAACGTTGTTTTAGCAAATGTGCCTGCATTTAACAAAATGAAAATAATTATGCAATAACTTTACGATTTTGTCAATCATAATTAACCCATTAATGCCCAGTTTAACTTTTTTTTGAGAAACATGTTTTCGGTTAAATATGTGATTACCATAGTAATATAAAGGATATATCAATGAATATTTCACGAAAAAAAATTTAAAATGCCGCCATTTTGGGTTCGGTCGTTAGCGACCCCTTGGGCTCTACAAAAATGTTTGCACAAACATTTCAAATGAAAATCATAATGTGTATTTTTTATACGTTTTATTTATCTGATTACAATTATCAACAAAAAGAGTTGAACAAGATACTATTATCTATAATTATGGAATCAGGAGTTATGGTATTCTAAAAAGCATTTGTCATGAAGAGGAACATTGCATGCATCACAACGTTTGTTTGTTTTATTTTTGCAATTCTGACAGCGGCGTCTTACTTCTCCCGTTATTATCAGATGTCTCCCAGAGGCAGAAGCAGGAATTATGTTGTCGGAACTTCAAACTTCGTTTTTTAAAAAAACTTTATTTGATTCCAACATGGACCGAACCGGAATTACAGTGTGTGTGTTCGCTATGACTGAGATTGAATAACTGACTCATAATTAAGATACAATCGTTAATATAAACCAAAAGTGATGAGCTAGTAAAAAGGAGTACAATGCAATTATTATATTAAAAGTGCTAAATGTCGGCAACATAACTCCTCCACCCTTAAGATGAAGTTTTGGATGGCACAAACAAAACTTCGTGCCTCTGGGGTTGCATTTCGATTTCTTCTAACTGCTGGCTTCTTCTTGATCCTTTTCTTCTCTGGTAATACTTTTTCACGAAGATGCATGCAATTCCAATTAACATAATTGCATACAGGGGTAGACTCCATTTGTAGGGGTGCTTCACTGTTTCGGGAAGAACTACCTGGATTTGGTCGGCTCGTTCTTGCAAGTGATGAAGTTTATCTAAGGAAATGTGTACTATCTTGATTTCCTTTGGATTTTCTGTTTTTGATGAAATGTGGACCTCTGGAAGCAGCAGCGGCTTTTCCATGGTTGTTCCTTTTTGATTTTTGTAAATGTAGTCCTTCGTTTGTATGCTGCATTGGTAAGGCACTTCAAGTAGGTAAATACCTTTTAACTCTATGACGTCATCTTGTTCACACTTGATTATCAGCTTTTCAGGTTTCGGAAAAATAGCAATGTATTTGGACTCTGAAACTTCTTCAATTAAGGCCATTTTAAGAGTTACAGGAATTTTGTTACAATTTGGCTGCTTTTTGTTTACTTGTAAAATAGCAAATAGACAATCGTCTTCTTCTTCTGCAACATGGACCAATTTGTTTTCGTGGCAAATAAAAATATCTTCTATCATTTGACATGGTTCAGCATCATATTGGTACATTTTGGTACTCATTGTGAAATAGGAATTTTTGGGAATAATGGTAGTTAGGTTAACAGTAGGAATGGAATAAAGATGATAATGCTTAAATTTGTCTACGTGCATAAGCGGAACATGTAAGGCAAAAACTAATCGATTTTGGGAAAAATATGCTTCTACTGAAATTATGTCGTAAAGCTTATAAATATCTTTGATGTCTGAATACACCAACTGAGCTTTATTATGATTTTTGACTAATATTTGGAATATTGACTTTAATTCGTCTATCGAAATAATACTGTGGTGCAATGACCCAACTTTGGCAAATGCGATGGCATTTTCCAAATTACTAGTTATAGAGAGCAGTGTATCTAAATTGAACTTTATTTGTAATAGTGTCTCCAAAATAGTAAAATAGTATGTATTGTTTCTTTGCATCTCTACCAAAGTTTGTTCGATTACAGCTTGATTGTGAACCATAAGGTTAAATGTCTTATTGTTATTTTTGAGAACTTCGTGGGTCAAGGAAATTTGCTGATTAACTGTCTTAATTACTTGATTCTGATTTTTCTGTAATTGTTCAATAGCCTGGTCATATTTTTTTAGCATCGTCATCATCTAAGTTCCCTGAAATCATTTTGACAATTGATCCTAAACCATTTATCAAACCTCGTTTTGGGCGATATTGCTTTTTCCAGAATGGATATATGGACATTATTTTGTTTTTCAAATTTGACATCGAGTAAACTATATGTTGTTCTATATCTGCCAAATGTGTATCTGGAATGAATCCTAAATTATATTTATTCTTTTCTGTTTGGTCCTTGATTTCTTGAAATACTGTACTTAGCGAATTTACTTCCTTAATTATCGGCTCAAAATCTACATAGTGTAAAAATGTATGTGTTCCTATCTTTACTTTAGCATCACCTAATCTGAAGGGTAGTATACCAGGATTTGTTTTAAGGTTGGTGACCTTCACCGTGGACTGATGTGTCAGATGCACTATCAGAAGAAGTATCATCCTGTAACAAATTTTGAGTTACTTTCTTTCTGGGCTTTTTGAAAATACTTTTATGATAAATATTTCTATTAGTTTTTAGTTTTAAAGCTTTGTCAGTCATAATCTGTTCTTTTATATAGGGTGGTTTCAGCTTTTTACCTCGGGACTTCGCGTCACGTCGATACGCTACTTTTTCTCTAGAATAGTCGGTCGGTTTTTCGCGATCTTTATTAGCTTTTCGAATAACCTTTTCCTTTTGGGTTTTCGACATGTCATAGATAAGGCTATAAATTAATTTTGTCCTATTCTTGTGTTCTTGAAGGTAATTGTTCATTAATTCTCGATCAACGTCTAGATCAAAAGGATCTCTAACGTCTAAATGTCCGTTAATAATTTCAATTGGTTTTCGTTTCGTCACTGAATGTATAGACTGATTGTAGCCAAGGATTGCATAAGGCATCAAAGAATTAACATCCTTTTTTGGAAATTGCAATGCAAGAGCTCTTAAATGTTCTGTTATAGTGGAGTGGAATCGTTCAATAGGTGAATTACTATTTGAATTTTTTGAAGTTGTAAAATGTAGCTTTATCTTATGGAGTTTTGCAAACTCTTTTATTAAGGAGTTGTTGAACTCAGTACCAGAATCTGCAACAATTTTAATGGGCAAACCATGAAATGACATGAATTTGATCAAATTGTCTACAACAGAGATAGCGTCAGCTGCTTCGATTGGGAAGGCTTGCGCATATTTTGAAAAGTTGTCAATTATTGTTAAAAATTTCTTATTGTTAGCTTGATATACATCTAAGTGAACAATTTGGAATGGCATTTTAGCTGTCGGGGTAATCTCAAATTCAATTCTAGGTGGATGTCTTTCATATTTACCTCGCTGGCAAATATCGCAAGTATTGACGTATAACTTCACGTCATCATCAATGTGGGGCCAATAATACTTTCTTTTAATTTGGTTCACTGTCTCAATGATTCCTCGGTGATTAGTTTTGGTTTCGTGATTATACCTCATGATTTCCTCTTGTCTCAAAACGTCAGTAATATTTTCAAGCTTTTTACTGCACTTGACTAATTTGAACGCAGAATTTTTGAATGTATTAGATACAAGGTTCGCGAGATTTTTATACATTTCGTCGTTATGATTATCTTCAAAATAAAATGCATAAGTACTTTTTGGTACACCGTAGTCTTTCAGAAAGTGTATAATAGGAGTTAAATCATCATTAACAATATACAATGTGTATAAGAATTTCTTCGGATCCCATAAGGTTTGAAGTGTGAGTTTTCTGGGCATAATGGCTTTTCTAACAAAAATTTGGTACTTGAAAACATTGATAGGTTTTTCTACAGGGTTAATTTCTTGAATGGGGTTTTCATCGTCTGAGTGAATAGTTACGTTTTCAACTCGTTCACTCAAGTCTAGCAAATTGCGTACTGTTTGTTCATCGCCTACATTATTTTCTATAGAGGTTTGGTCATCTGCAGGTTTTTCGGAAAAGTCTTTATTGAAGGTTTTCATGTATCGGATAAATGGGGACTCTTCTTCATCTTGGATTTGTGATGTAGAAGGTTGTGGGTCAGTTTCGGTAGCGTGAATTTGAATACGAGAAAGTGCATCAGCATTTTTATTTTCTTTACCTTTTTTGTATATAACTTCATACTCAAATTCGGATAATTTTAAGCGCCATCTTTGTAATCTAGAATTTGGTTCTCTTAAAGTCATTAACCACTGAAGCGGTTTGCAATCTGTTACAATTTTAAATTTTCGTCCAAAAAGATAATGTCTAAAATACTTAGTTCCATAAACTATTGCTAAACATTCTTTTTCTGTCGCACTGTAATTTTGTTCAGAATCATTTAATGTTCTAGACGCATAAGCTATTGGTTTGTCAGAGCCAATAGGGCCTTGAGAAAGTATAGCTGATACAGCAAAATTACTTGCATCGGTAGTCAATACGAAGGGCTTTTCAAAATCCGGATATTGTAATAATGGATCATTTGTTAAAAGATTCTTACAATGTTCAACAGCTTTGAGAAATTTTTCGTCATGTTTAATTTCTGCTCCTTTTTTCAAACATAGGGTGAAAGGGCGAGTGATTTTTGCAAAGTCCTTAATGAACTTACGATAATAACCAATCAAACCTAAAAACTGTTTAATTTCGCGGGTGGTTCTAGGCAATGGATATTTGAGAATGGCTTGAATTTTGTCGGGGTTTGGTTTTACTCCTTGCGATGTGACAATGTGACCAAGAAAAGCTGCTTCCTTTTTCAAAAATTCGGATTTGTCTAATTGAACTTTGAGGTTTGTCTCCCTTAATCTTTGGAAAACCTTTTTCAATGATACAATGTGTTCTTGTAAAGAAGTAGAATAAATTATGATGTCATCCATATACACCATAGTGTTATCTAGTCCTCGTAAGACATTATCCATAACTCGCTGAAATGTGCTTGGTGCTCCTTTAAGGCCAAAACTCATACGAAGGTATTCGTAATGACCTCCATCAACACTAAACGCTGTTTTTTGAATATCTTCCGGGGCTATTTCAATTTGGTGGAAACCGCTAGCTAAATCCAAAGTTGTGAAATAATTACAACGGCCTAATTTGTCTAAAATGTCAGAAATACATGGAATGGGGTAGCGATCATCTATGGTCTTTTCGTTAACCTTTCGATAGTCAACCACCATACGCCATTTCTTTTTACCACTAGCATCAGGTTTTTTGGGAATGAGAAAAACTGGAGAATTCCAAGCTGAGCTACTATGTCGAATAATATTCTGATCTAGAAGGCATCTAATTTGGCTTTGCATTTCGTTTTTGAGCATGTGTGGATAACGATACGATTTTGTATGAACAGGAATTTCATCTGTGGTCCTAATATGATGTTTAATTTGGTTCGTGAAAGTTAACGCATCGCCCTCGTAATAGAATACGTCTGAGTAGGTTTGACACAATTTTTGAATATGAGTTTTTTCTTCATTATTGAGATGAGATGTTCGTATCAGTTTATTGATATCATGTCGCGACGGCGAAGCTGATTCAGATGGTTTAATGATAGCGTGGAATAAAGCGTAATTGTTTGCATCGAACGGAAATGAAACAATAGGCTCATACAAGGAAATTTCTTGATAAGTGTTACTTGGATTTTCTAGGTCAACTAAGGCATAACCGTTTATAGCATGAGTAAGCGTTTCCTTTATTACACAATCTCTAATTTTGGAATTTGGAATCAAAATTTCTCCATTATAAGTATCGACAGGAATTTTGGCTTGGGCCACCGTGTAGGGCTCAATTTCTATGAAAAATAACAAACGATTTTTCAAATCATGAAATTTGATTGAAATTTTGGCGTTTTTGGTATGCAAAATAGAATTTCTAAGGTCAATATGCGAATTTAGAAGTTTCAAAATATCTAAACCAATCAGACCATCAAAATACTTGTGAAATTTGAACAAATGAAATTTTATAGGCTCACTAACATTGAGTTCTGAGAAGGCAGGAATTTTAGCACAATAGTCTCTCTTCGAATGCTGAAAAACTGAAGTTACTTCGAATGGTTCTTTATAAATACATTTTGGAAAATGCAATTGTGCAAGATCAGGATTTAAAAATGATTTCGTTGCACCAGTATCAATAAGAAGCTTTAAAGGCGGATTTTTAATTTCAATATAAGGTAATTCTGTCTTGTCATAAATCGTGTTTAAGTATATTATGTCTCCTCTATCATGGGCACGGCCATCTGAAAATTTTGTTTTTCTTCATCAGGCTTTTGACCAGTTTCAGAAACATCATTTTGTGTCTCATCAGGGTTTTCGTAATATAGATCAGAACAGTCATACCGATTTTCACTATCCTGACAATATTCCGAGTAATAGTCATCGTAAGGGTTGTTTACAAAATTTTGATCATAAGGATCACTCTCAACGTTATCTAATTCTTGAGAAGCAAAGTTCCTTGGGCCAGAAGGCCTAAAATAATTATTTTGGAAATTCTTATTTCTATTGATGCTACTAACACCACTCATAGGAGTAGGCCTGTAGGAAGGTCCTTGGTTGGGCGGATTACGCCAAACATTAACATTAGGTCTATTGCCAAAAACTTGTGCGTTTGTTGGAAATTTTTGTGGAAGAGGATTTTGTCTAGGTTGAATCGGAACTGGTCCTCTTGGGAATTGAGGCTGATAATTGAAATTTTGCTGAGGCCTAAATTGATTCATAGGCTGCATTTGAGGCTTAAACAAATTTTGAAAATGTGGTTTAGATGGAAGGGCAGGCTGAGGTGGCTTATTGAAATTTGAATGTGCACCAGCCTTTTGTAAATATCTAATGTTATTATCTTCTAAAATATAAGCTTGAGCTTCTGCCAAATTTTTAGGTTTCATCGACCGAATCATGGAACTTTGTGGCTCCTTTAAACCTACTAAAAGTGTATGCAATGCATGACTATCATACAGAGCCTTTTTACTTGTTTTAATAGCATCAACTGTTTCATGAATATTTATATAGTTATGCAAATGATTCAGCATGGTTACAACTCTAGAATAAAACTGTAAAGAGCTTTCATTAGAATTTTGTCTAAGGGCAGTCATATCTGAAATAAGACTACTCTCGTTTCTTTGATCACCAAAATGAGCAATTAGCAAATTTTTTATGCTGTGCCAGTCTGTGGAACCGCTAAGAGAAAATACTTGCTCTGCAGCACCAGTCAATTTCGAGAAAATGCCATGCAGCAGTATTTTGTTTTGGACACATACTGTATCGTCAGTGTTCCAATAGTTATTTAATAAATCTGTGCTTATTTCTAAATATCTATATAGTCTACAGGGATTCCCATCAAATTCTGGGACAATTTGGAGTAATTTTATGTCGAACTGGGGGGTACTATTTCTACTGGGGGTCGTCATTATTCTTTCTATAGTTTCGTTTGCTTGTCTTATTTCTCTACGTCCTAATTCTAAACTTGCTATGCGATTAGCGATTTGATCTGCACTATCACCTTCGAAAGGATTTACAGGTCGGGGTGAGTCACTCATGAAAAAATAAGGATACAATGAGCACTTACTGATAGGTCCAGTACTTCATCCCGTTCTTGGCCTAGGTTCCTCAGGTGGACGTCGACTTCAACAGGACAAAGGGCACTTGTGGTCCAAATTCTTTCTTCTTTCTTCAGTCGTACCAGCTCGTCACGGAGGTTCGTGATTCCCAATTAAGAGTTCGGACTCAAGGGCTAATCGGCGAAAATCCCTTTGGGAATCCTACTGGCTGCGCCAATTATGTTGTCGGAACTTCAAACTTCGTTTTTTAAAAAAACTTTATTTGATTCCAACAATAGTTTACATGGACCGAACCGGAATTACAGTGTGTGTGTTCGCTGTGACTGAGATTGAATAACTGACTCATAATTAAGATACAATCGTTAATATAAACCAAAAGTGATGAGCTAGTAAAAAGGAGTACAATGCAATTATTATATTAAAAGTGCTAAATGTCGGCAACATAACTCAGGATATCTGATGACAGCTCGTTTTTTTTCCCGCTACAGATGGTTCTCGACCATATGTTGACAAAAGTTCCTTTGCAATACCTCTGCGAAAATCTAGTTGGTCTTTTTTATATCCATACTGCCGTGCGAGATTCCAAGAATTTACAACACATACATCAATTGCCCAGTACATCAGTGGAGTGTACCATTTTTTTACCTCTCATTGCTATTCTGTAATTTGAAATATGATTGTCGAGCTGATCAACACCACCCATATACCGGTTATACTGTTTTACTATAAACGGCTGGGGGATTTCTATTTTCTTTTTCTCTTTAGCAGAATATCTCAGACACTTTTGAAGAGGATCTAAACCATGTACGTTGGATAATAATGTAACGATACTGTTATCTTTCCACCGAATACCCGCTATTTTATTATTTTCCCCAACAGCAACATCCATGGATCCTCTTTCCATTTTTTCATAAGAGTTGAGTTTTCCAGAGGGCACTTATCTGTACGATTTTCTCTTACAGTACCGGTGGCTCCAAAACCCTTTTTACCAAGACGGATTATCAATTTAGCAGATGTAAAAAAATTGTCGAAATAAAAGGTAAATCTAAGATTTGGAAATTCTTTTTCTAAGAGGGTAGCAAAACTTGTTACTACACGTTCGCCAAGACCCATACCCCCTAGATTTTCTATATTCTGCTTCCTTCCTTGATATATATCAAACTGCAAACAATAGCCACATTTCAATGCAGCAACCCAAGCTTTATATCCAAAGCGAATGGGCTTGCCTCTTATGTATTGCTTGCATCCGTGCCTACCGTAGTATGGTATCATCGCTTCGTCTATAGAAATATTACCTTCAATTGGTGCGTACTTTATAAAATTTTTATTTATGGCTTCAATAAAGGGACGTATCTTTCCCAACTTATCACCTTCTGGGAGATTGTCATTATCAGCAGCATGGAAAACGCTAGAAATCTCTTCAAATCGATTTCGACGCATTGATTTGGCGACTAGTTCATTATGAACATCCTCACTTTCTTCCCAATACATCCGTCTTCTCGGTAGAGGAACGTATCCAGACAAAACTAAAATTCCAACAAAAACATACATTTCGTCCAAACAAAGTTCAAAGTTCAGCTTGTTCTTTTTAGAAGCATATGCGACGGTGTGTTTTACAAGATCTGTTAGAATATCGGGTGACAAAAATAGTTGAAAAAATTGGAGGGGCGAACTCTCCGATGTCAGTGTAAGTGGAGGTGGAAAATGTGAAAATGTTTCCGTATTATCACTCTGTAGGTCGCCTTTCATCCACTTACATTTTTCATATTCAGAGTGACTTGCAAAATATGCGAGCGGCAAATTGTCTTCTCCACTCCACTCAATATCAGCAACCCCCTCAATCACTGTTTCATTTTGTGATCTCCTTTCATTGTCCATGAAGTAATATTCAGCTTGAGCAGAAAGTTGATTGCTGTTCAAGTGGTCCGGATCATTGGAAACTTCGTCTCCAGAGTCGCAGTCCGTGTTGTCGGAAAAATCGTCTGGTGGAGTAATAATAATTCCATCGGGAAGATCTTCGGAATTTTCGATGTTTTCAATTTCTTCCAACAATTCGCTGGTTGTCAACGGACGCGTCCTGGAAAAAAAAATAAAAATAAACTACTAAAAACATTCTAAAAAAAATAATGTGAATTATTAAAATTAACATTAGAATGTATTGTGAAGCCCAAGGGGTCGATAACGACCCACAAGGTTTTTAGGTTATACACAACTTTTATTTCTACAAATATTTCGAAACAATGTATTTGCAGTCGTAGATATGTGCTACCTAAAGCTAATTTGAATAGTAGATAAAAGAAATAAAAAACAATAAATGTACTTACCATTCATAATTGGAAGCCATGTTTTACTACACTCAATCTATGGAATTCGGGCTGCTGTTTAGATGCCGGAAATATGCATAATGCCGTCGACCATAAGCACGTGGCTTCATCCAGGCATGTGGTTGCGTTTGCCGAATATTTACGCGTTGTTGTCATTTTGTGCTGAGAGTAGGGTATTAAAATATCTCGTGGGTTATTATCGACCCCGTGGGCATTAATGGGTTAAGTAATTAAAAAATACACAGTAAAACTTACCTCTGAATCTTTAGTTTAGCTGATTTCCAGTTAGATTTATTTATTGAACGCTTTCGGGCTTTGTTCGGTATGCATATTTGGACGGCTTTATTGTATTCGTCCATGTTTTCTTTAAAACACTTATAAAAACCACAGAAAGCAATAATTATGATCCTACACGTTAAATATCTAAACAAGAACTGACATGCATAAACTCGTGCCCGTATCGAATTGCATCGTCATTGGTCAAAATGGATTTGGCGGGCTTTGATTGTAATATTGGCATGGCGTTAGCGGGTTTTGAAACTAAACGTAAAGTTTCGGATTAATTATAGACTTGTTTCAGCGGAATTTGAAGGATAATATTTATACAGGTAGATTCCTTGGAAAATTTCCTATAGGATCGGCAGAAAATACCATATTTGGAAAAAAGTGGAATTAGCGGGGTTTGATTCTATACGCCTCAAATGAAAGATGTTGTCCTTCTTCCTTATAGTCCAAAATCTTACATACACAGCACTGTCTCACCATGATCACCTATTCAAACACAAAAATACACCACAAAAGAATTAAAAGCCGCAGCCGAAAGCGTGTAAACCACTAAGCAAACCAAGTAGCAATGGCGGATAGATCAGGCCAAGCTTAGAATTATGAATGAATCGATGAAATCGACGATTCGCGCTGTTGCCAAGTGGATTTCTTTGCGTCCTTAAAATGGATCCGTAATAGAGTTTTTGTTGGTAAATGATACAATTGACCAATAATTTCTCACATTCTTCCATTCAATATATGTGCATTCTTTAAAAATCCTATGTTTTACGTTCGAAGTGTTTGTACATGCAACATCGCAGATTCCCGATGAATGTTGGATGAAAGTTTCATCAAAACAGATAGGTCTATATTCTTTAGTAGTCTGTGGGCTCCACCAGACGTAGAACAATTTCTTCGGCTGAGTTATTCATTTGGAATGGACCATCAGGTTGCCGTCCGACATAAGGCTCCAAATTAATAATATAGGCAGTCTTACAATCTACCAAAGTAAATACTTTTACCTTACCCCATACTTTGCAGGCTTGCTTGGTATATACTGCTTGAAGCTGCATCTACCCCTGAACGCGAGCAATTGTTCATCAATCTTACTCACTGGGAGAATAATATTCTTGAATGTTATTTCTTATTATCTCAAACACTTCCCTTACTGGCGCAAGCTTATCAATGGCTTTGCGCTGTTCCCTATCTATGTCGTCAAAACGCAGACATCTCAAAATAAATCGAAACCTTTTCTCGCTCATGGTTAAATAACAAGATTCTAAACCATTACCTTTCGAATTATCCCACAAATATTTTAAATTTTTCCTTGAATTTCGCAGAGATCCTATAAGGTACAACCATGGTACAACAAACTAATAAATGCTCTGATTTCAGTTATATCTGTAGGCCTAGCATCACGATAACGTTCGAATTTACTACGGATATGTTCAATGTTCAATGTAAATATTAGTCGAATGGCAAATTATACGTAGCACATTCTCATCTGAAAATAAATTTACAATATCTATTTCAGTTTTTGTTTCACGGGCTTTATTTTTTGGATCAGGAAGGTGCTTGATGATATTTTGTCGAACAATCTTTACCTACATAAAAATTATATGGCAGATTGGACTCATTTCTGCTTTGTATAGGCTGCGCCGCATCCTCTGTTTCACTTGTTTCTTGCTCAGATTCCGACTTATGTTCACTATCTGAAATATGATCGACCTCTTCAAAATCGCTTTCATCCTCAGGAATGTTACTATCACTTAATTCTTCAAACCACTTTAGCCACAGTTGGAGATCTGCAGAAAAAATGAAAAATAGTACAATAATGATTGCAGATGTTTCTCCGTGCAAATAAAAGAATGTGTAGTAATTATAAACTGCCTAACTGATATCTAACAAAGATTATGTAAAAAAATGAATAAAACACCTGCTTGATAATGTAACGCGGATAGGCGCGCGGGTGACACTTGTTGCCCAAGCAAATTCTCTTTTGCCATGACAACCGATGGGAGTAGTGAGCGGGGTGCGAGGAAGACGTTAGCGAGCAAATCAGATAGATGGCGCTACAAAGTTGTTCAGTGATAAAAGGGATCGTTTTACCTCGGGGAATCATTTTATACACCTTTCCCTTATATATAAAATTCCACAGGAAATGTACTAGACTCAATCATAAAACAACTATTTATGAACTCTAGGAAATTTTTAGTAGTATAGCTATGAAAAAAAGGATAGTTCAAAGGATGGCGGAACGACACAAAGATCAGCTTCAGCCAAAAGCGGTATAGAGACGTAAAAAGAATTGCATCATTACAAAAGTAATTATAACAAGAAAACAATCTGTAGCTTTCTAAATCTGAAATATAAGTATGTAAAAATCTTGGGAGCTAATACCGGTGATTGTGATGAGAATTCTGCAATCTGGCAAAGCAGCTATGGCACTCTTTGTCATTGTCGCTTCCCCTTTCAAGGCGCGATATTTAAAATTTATTGGTCATGAAATGGGGAAACATCGATATTATAATGAATTCTCAATCACACTTTCATATTTTATTATTTCAATAAGATGGTCGATGATTTTCACTTAATAAATACTAATACATATGTTTACACGGCATTATTAAGTATTTATAACAAAGCTCGCAAAGCATTTTAGGTTCGATATGCTCTTTTATATTTATGGCACCAGGATGTATCTACAAATAAATTACATCACCCAAACACTTATCATCATCATTCGGACATTCTCTATTTGGAAGATTACAATTTAAATTTATGATAAAATGCCACGTCACATCCACGTCTTTTCCACGTGTATAAATAACCAACACAGGTGCAGACGTATTTACGGTCACTGTTCTACGTGGATAAAACGTCCCTCGTCGACCAGTGACGTGCTACACCGGATTTACACGTTTTATCGACGTTTATCGATTATATTATAAGAATACAGGAGGAAATTATAACAAACTAATACGTTTACGTTAATTAATCGGTTAAGTGACTGATACATAACCGGATTTAATTCGCGGCAGGGGAAATTGGTATAGAGGTGTACACACGTCGTAATATTCACGTTTTACCGACGTGGTGTGGTTATATCGGACAAATATAAGCGAAATTTGATCCATAACTGACGTCGAATAAACGTAGAATTTTCCCTAAATTTCAACTTCGACCAAAATCACCAAATATCTACGTCGATTCCACGACACCTTGCTGGCTGGGGTGTTGTACATATACGTCTAATAACCAAATTATTTTTCAATATATGAGTTGTTCAATTAGAGTTAATGATTTTCCTATTTGCTAGCATTAGAAACCTGAGGATATCATTACGCATGTGCAATGAAAATGTATTAGGGTGGTAACATTTTTTACGTTGATCAAAATATCATTTTTTACGTTCATTTTTTGTAATGAAAAACTGTTTTTCTGGGCTGTCGCAACTTTTTCTTCATGTACAAAATTTATTTATTTTACTTTAGAATGTAAGTACTAGGTACTATAGGCACATTTTTTGTACCTTTTTATCTATTATTTATATTAAGTTAGTATTTATCTTATTTATTAAGTATTTTAACGACTTGTAAATATATGTGTATATTATACAAAAATTGTTTTTCGTTGATAAGATATTTTTTTTAATAAAATATGTAATCTAATTTGTGTTTTGTTGCACGTATGTGGATATAACCTGTTGGAATCCACTTTGCGAAACCACATAATGATGACTGGGCTATCAAACGAATTAGGCTTGCCAGGGACGGAGAGTTGATTAAAATTCTCTGGATTTTCCGCAGATAAATCTAACAACGACTACAATAGTTGGTTGCTATATGATTACAGAACAAAGAATAAGATTGAATCGATCCGTATAAAAACCTAGCAAGTTCCATATTTTGACAAATAAACTAGTATTATGGTATATTAGACGACAACGCTTTTAAATTCGTTTGCATTTTTTCTGCTTCCTTGTGTTACCGACCCGACATATACTACGGTCATTATATGATACGGTATAAATAATAATGGAATCTGGTTCGCCTGTATAAATTATAGATTTGAGCAATGTGTTATAACCTAAAAAGCCCTAATAGTTCGATACAATTGATTTGAATGTAGCGAACCTAAAAAATCGCATTGTTTCAATGCCGTCATAGCATAGCGATACGATTTTTCTCTGCACTTGAAAACGATCTGCTCTGGTAGGTCAGCGGCCCACGGGCAACTAAAATGATTTGTACAAAGGCACTATGAATGATGGAAACCCATCTTGCAGCCAAAGACTTTTCGGGCAGTGATACTGTCAGTGCGCATGATACTGATTGTAGGATCGAGGACAGCAATGACAGGAATACCGTCGTATTTCTAAAAGAATCTGCCTGTCTGTTGATGCTCAACAGATTCGCATTAATGTTTATAATGGACTGTTACATGAAATGGGTGATAGTAGTCTCCTTAAAAAAAAACAGCCGAACTGACTAACGTACCATATCCTACAATTTGCAAAATTATTTGTAACGGTGTCAAACCAAGAAAAAGAAGAATTGACAAGGGGACATCTATACCTTTAAGTGTAACAACAACTGCCAAAATAAGGAACATAGTGTATGATCATTATAAACGTAATGAAATTCCCACGGCAGAGATGGTACTTTGAGAATTGATGGAGAGATTTGAAACCTATAACGATCAACGTTACTTCGACAACTTATTTCAGTCATATCTGATCTCATACTTGCAAGAGATATTGTTTGAAAATTTTCAGATCCATCTCTGTCCTCATGTCTCCGGTTCTCGGTTTTATAGCCGTTTTGACTATCGGCAAAAAATGTAAACGAATCTAAAAGCGTTGTCGTCTACTATACTTTTTTGAGCTTAATGTAGCATTTGAGTTTGGCAAGATTGAAATTTCAGTTACGAATACATATTAATTACACTTAAATATTGACTTATCAACATGCCACGTGTTTTAGATTTTCATGTTTTAATATTTCCCCATTTCAGATGCCGCTCAAGTATTACATGACCAGATTTTTCCAATTATTAACCCGCTCGCCCCACCCAACATGCTTGGCAGTAACATGATCCATTTCCATTGGACTCCATACGTCTGCTAATGGTCTAATCAGATTAGCAAATTTCCCCGAAATAATTGTAAAATATGGTCTTATTGATGCAAGTTGATCAAGGGGGTATTTAAAACATGGCCGAGTAAAATGGGTACACCAAGGTTTGTGGGAAAACTTTTCATTTGACAACAAAGGATGAGAAAACGCGTTTTTTGAGATTCAATCGAAAGTGTTGACAGGAACGAAAAAACTTTATATAAGATTTTTAGGTATTTATGACAAATTCAAAATGAGGCCACACGTAAAAAGATTCGACTAATAGCAAATATGTTATGGCCTAAAAACGAGGCAAAATGCAGATTTTGGCACTTGGTAATGTAACGATAATTTCACGCAACTACTTGAAATTATTCAAATCAGTAGCACTTCTGCTTCTAAATAATAACAAAATTGGATTATAGTGATCGAGCGGTTTTTTGAGAGTTCCTAATTGTTTATCCCAAAACACCTGTTTTCCTGTCATCACTACTGGTTTATTGAGCAATATACAAGGTTCGTTCAAAGAGCATTTAATAGCAAAATACACGTGTTTTCCTTTTCGATATGAATCACTAAACAATTCCTGAAGTTAAATATTATTTTTATGCGAAAAACAAAGGTTACGTTTTTTCTTTTAACCAAATTCAAACATTTCGTATTTGTGAGTAATTGAACAAATGCGCTACGATATGCGAAAAACCTACATTACTCGTACTATACACATTTTAAAATAAAGCGGATGTCTCTATCATCTTTTGTTGCGAATTACTCACAAATACGAAATGTTTGAATTTGTTTAGAAGAAAAAATAACATTTATTTTCCGGAATGGTTTGCGATTCATATCGGCAAGGTAAACTAGTAGTGATGGCTGGAAAACAGGTGTTTTGGGATAAGCAATTAGAAATTCTCAAAAACTACTTGACCAATCTACTCCAATTTTTTTGTGGTTTCTTAGACGTACGAATCCTACAAATTTGAAGAATTTCAAATATCTGCGAGAAACTATCGTCGCATTACCAACAAGTACCAAAATCTGCTGTTTGCCTCGGTTTTCGGTCATAACTTTTTTGCTATTGGTCTACCTAAAATACCTTAAAATCTTATATGGAGTTTTTTCGTTCTTGCCAACACTTTCGACTAAATACCAAAAAACACGTTTTCTCATTCTTTGTTGTCGAATAAAAAGTTTGCCCACAAAAATTGGTGTAAACATTTTATGCGTCCATGTTTTGAATACCCCCTTGAACAACTTGCAGCAATAAAACCAGACTTCACAATTATTCCGCAAACCAGGGGTTTTTTCATATAATTCCTTCCACGTTCATCCAAATGAGACCCAAAATGGTCATGATGGAGTATTTAACGAGCCAGTTCCCGACTAAGAGGAGCCATTCTGTGATCTACTTGGCTATATGCATTTCTACTAAGAGCATTTATACAGGGTGTTCCATAATTATTGCGACAAAATGATAGGGGTTGTAGAGGGCATAAAAATATGCAATTTTGCCTTATAAACCCCTGTTCGTAAATATGCCGTTTGAGCACTACCGCTAATTTTACCTTAAGAGCTCATAGGAGAAACAAAAAATTCAACAGCTGCAAAATGTTTGTCTAGCACATTTCATGGTCTCGCCGATTTGTAAAAAAAGGCCTGCTGTGTTTACATTTTTGTTATCGTAAATTCTCCACACCGATTCATTTAATTTATCTGAGTGGTGCGTCAAACTAGATAGTAAATAACAGTACCTTAGTGTTAAAATGCAGCGTTATTCGTATGCGGAACTTGCGGATATGCATTTAATTTACGGAGAAGCTGGTGGTAACGGAAGACGAGCCTCGTGAATCTAGCCCAACGGTTTCCAGAACGTCCTCATCCGCATCACGCCATTTTTGCAAGGATTCATGGACGTCTTCGTGACAGCGATTCTGCATCATGTAGAGGCCAATCCGCGTACAAGCGTGCGTGCTATTGCACATGAAATGGGAGCGTCTCAAACTACTGCTTGGCGGGTTCTCCATGACCAGCAACTACACCCATACCACCTTTTAAAAGTCCAAGCCATGGGTCCAGAAAACTATCTGCCGCGTCGACGTTTTTGTCGTTGGTGGCTGCAGCAGGAGTTGAGGCAACCAAACTTTGGTCGCTACGTTTTGTTCACTGACGAGTCCTGTTTCACAAAGGACGGTTATTTTAATAGCCGTAACAGTCACATTTGGGATGAAGAAAACCCTCATGCCATAGCCATCCATAGAGACCAACATAGTTTTCAATTAACATCTGGTGCGGCATTGTGGACGAGCATATCATCGGGCCATATTTGCTTCCACCACGTTTGGATGGGCATGCTTATGGTCGATTCTTACAGCATGTGCTACCGGAACTATTAGAAAATGTGCCGCTGAACATAAGAGCCAACACGTGGTTTCAACACGATGGCGCTCCAGCCCACTTTTCTTTACAAGTGCGGCAGTATTTGAACGATAAATAGGTGGATAGGCCGAGGTGGCCCTGTGCCTTGGCCTGCGCGGTCACCCGACCTGACCCCACTGGATTATTTTCTCTGGGGCCATCTGAAAGCTTTAGTGTACGAAACTCCTGTTCCCAAGACCTACTGGGAAGAGTGATGGTCGCGTCCGCACATGTTCAGGACATACCGGGGGTATGCCACAGAGTTCGCCGATCATTGAACAATCGTCCACAGCTGTGTATTGAGCAAGGTGGAGGACACTTTGAGCAATTACTGTAGGTAAGCTGTTTCAAGAAACTGATCTTTTTTTTTTGCTGCAGCCCAAACGGCATATTTCCGAACAGGGGTTTATAAGGCAAAATTGTTCATTTTGATGCCCTCTACAACCCCTATCATTTTGTCGCAATAATTATGGAACACCCTGTATAGCTAAGGTCCTAATGGAGCAAGTATATCTACAGGGAAAACCAAATTTGTCCGACGGCTTGGGATCCATGTGTACGAGAGAGATGCGCGAGAAGTGGGTATCAACACATGGTAGAAAGAGATAGAAGCCGACTGAAGAGCGATGGTCATCACCACATTGCTCAGCAATGGTGAAGCAGAAGGTCATGCAATCTGCTGCGTTGCCAATATGTTACATCAGAAAATGTTCGCATAGGCTTCTAGAATAGGTTAGGTTACTGTCAAATCCAAGAAGGAGGTCTGTTCGAACATTTATTTTAATATTTATTAATTTAATTTACATCGATGGTGATAAAATCAGTACATCCCGAGCTATTGTTGCATTTCGCGATAGCGAGCGGTCGGAAAAGTAATAAATACCATTACAATTACAATACAAACTATTATTTCCTGCTCGTACACAGGTGGAAACCATTTCGAAGCAGGGTGTCCCTAAGAGGGGTACTGAACGCAGCCGCTAATCTATGATCATGGAGGTGGAAGCGTTGCATTGGAATGTACGAGATGCGGCGTTGCCAAGCGAATCAATGATGCAGAATTTGTGGCGAACCTAACCTCTGACATCTAAACCACGAAATGACCATCATGAAAGCATAGATAGACTTACGTATATACTTCATACTATCTATACGAACAGCTATTCAAAATGCGAATATTTAGCGTACATTTGATGGACCTTCTCAGTTATACAAATGCTAAGAATTGAGTCAATGTTTTTCTATGGAACAAGAAAACTCTTAAACAATTGATTTCGGGCAAAGCAGATAAGGCCTATAATCTTACTTTTGTAAATATGGAAATAGAAAAATACAGAGATACTGGTACTGACTTCAAAATTACCACAAGTACCCTCCGTCTAATATGTTATGTCTGCAAATACCAAATACAGTAGAACTCCAATTTTCCGAATTAATGGGGACCGGGACCCATTCGGATAATCAAATATTCGGATAATCGGATTTTTTTTTTAAAAATTGCCATTGGAGAGAAAAATGCTACGTTTTGATATTGCACTATTTTTTTTATTGAATTAAATGAAAGAAACATGATATTTTCACATGTTTTAAATATAAATACATACATAAAATACATAAAATGTATGTACGTACATACATATGTACAAGTTTAGAAATAAAAATCATTGTTTTTTAAACATCTCCGTCAATGTAAGCTGTTTTGCGTTCTTCATCCGTTTTCGGGCAGCCAGGTCACGCATTCGCTTGACGGTGAGCAGTTGCAAGTGGTCACACTCGGGCTGACGCTCCATCCACTTCAAAGCAGTCTCGAGGCCGGCAAATGCTTCACTAGCTGATGGTCCAGCGTCTACTTCAACATCAGCAGAAAGTTCTTCTCCCACTTCCACTTCAACATCTTCTCTCACACTTTCAACAATTTCATCGTCATTGAGAATTTGAAAACCAGGGTCAGACGTGTCACAAGCCATCCACTCTCCTACATCTTCAGCACTTACTTCTGTACAACCAGGAATTTTTACAATCATTTTTCTTATTTCCTCTAGTGACAACGCATCTTCATCATCTTCATCCTCTCCATTTTCTTGTTTCTCATTTTCTTCAGATTCTTTTTTTTTGTTCTTCTCAGACGGTAGGCCTTTCAGTTTATTCCACGCACGTCTTAGCGTCACTGCCGTAACCAAACTCCAAGCTTCCGCTACCATGTAACAGCAGTCCTTTAAATTTATTTTGCTATGATTTGCCAAAACCAATTCTTCATCTTCAGCACCTTCGATCAGCAGTTTTCTCAGCAGTTGCCTTCTGTAATGGCGCTTCATTGTTTCAATAACAGACTGGTCCATGGGTTGCAGCAAACTTGTAACATTGGGAGGCAAAAACGTCGTTTTAAACTGCCCTTTCTCTCTTTCCAACAGTTCTGCTGTAGGATGAGTGGGTGCGTTATCAACAATTAAAAGCACCTTACTGCCTTCTTTTCCCACCGATTTTTGGTGCTTTTTCACTTCAGGAATAAACACTTCATCATACCATTCGGTAAACAAAGCTGCAGTCATCCAGGCCTTGGGTTGACTTTTGTAGAAGAGTGGAAGTTTTTTTACGTTTTTAAATGCTCTTGGATTTTTTGATTGTCCTATCAAAAGAAGTGGTAGTTTATGATTTCCAGTGGAGTTGGCACAGTTAAGCACTGTAACACGTTCTTTACTGACCTTATGTCCAGGGGCACTAGATTCCCTTTTAGAAGCCAAAGTGGTTTTTGGTAATGCTTTCCAAACAAGGCCAGTTTCATCGGCATTATAAACAAACTCCGGATCATAGGATTCTGCTGCAGTTTTAAATTTTTCAATAAAATTTTCAGCAGCTGCAGAGTCTGCTGAAAGCTTCTC